AAACTCAATTAATTGTATTCCTTGTGTAAAATAATTTTTTACCCGATTTCATAACGTTTATGTTACTAATTTTTATATTTTACTTACCCGATGTTTCTAAAATGACTTTTAAATTTAAAAAAAATTAAAATTGAAATTATACCTTCATTCAACGTGTGAAATCATTAAAAGTATTCCTGGAAAACTAACGTAACCTTCTAAAAACAATTAATCTTTTAATAAAAAAATGCGTGAGTGTCGTGCAACACTCGGTTGGAACGAAGTTCCTTGCGTAGTATATTATTATTGATAATCGTATTATATTATTGATTAACAAATACAAATGAATGAATTACTAGCATCTATTAAAATGAAGCGTCATTTGAAATTAAATAATATTTCTTTCATGGCAATATAAGAAAAAGTGCGAGGGAGATGGATATTATTCCCGCTCACTTCCTTATTTCGCCGCCAAGGCCGTCTACACTTGGGGTAGTGACGAAAAAATCTTACACTTTTTGTCGCCTAGCTCCTATCCGCCAAACCCGTACCGTCCGATAAGGAACTTGGTTCCAAAAATGTCAGCCAAATTCAAAGATCTCGGTTTTATTTTTTTATTAAAATGTTTTCTAACCGTTATGAGTGGACGAAGGAATATCACAACTTTAAGGCAACAACTAGAATATCATCAAATCAGTATTTTTTTTATTTTCTACTAGCTGTTTCCCGCGACTTCGCCCGCGTGGAGATATTTTTCCCGGAAACCTAAAATAAAAGCAGCCCAAGTTACTCCTTATAACATCAGATATCTGCCAGTGTGTATAAATATTGATATTAATATTTATACGATACTAACGTCACGCAATTGTTTTGCCTCCCCGGAACCTCTCCACTAACACTTAAACTTTATGTTACTGTTTTAAAGTTCAAATAGATTTTTAACTATTATTAAGAATCTTTTGTATGGGAATATAGAAAAGTGTTGTTTTTAGACTTTTTCAGGCAATTTTTTAAAATTTTCTCTCCGTAAGAACCATCTTCTTGCTTCAAGGAATATTATAAAAAAAGAATGAGCGAAATCGGTTCAGCTGATCTCGAGATTTGCGCTTAGCAACACATTCAGCGATTCATTTTTATATTATAGACTAGCTGTTCCCCGCGACTTCGCCCGCGTGGTGTTATTTTACCCCAAAATAAAAGCAGCCCAAGTTACTCCTTATAACATCAGCTATCTGCCAGTGTGTATAAATATTGACATTAATATTTATACGATACTAACGTCACTCAATTGTTTTGCCTTGCCGGAAGCCCTCCACTATCACTTAAACTTTAAGGTATGGTATTAAAGTTCAAATTGACTTTTAAGTATTATTATGAATCTTTTATATGCAAATATACAAAAGTGTTGTTTTTAGACTTTATCAGGCAATTTTTTAAATTTTTCTTTTCCGTAAAAACCATCTTCATACTTCAAGGAATATTATAAAAAAGAATTAGCGAAATCGGTTCAGCTGATCTCGAGATTTGCGCTTAGCAACACATTTAGCGATTCATTTTTATATTATAGATTTATTATTAGGAAGACCCTGCTGCCCAACACCTGGTTTGTTTCCCTCTGCCGCCTACCACGACACCCACAGGACGATATGGGTTGGAGGATATACTTAAGCCGCCACAGTACTACGGTTGCTTACACATTAACTCCATCCAATTAGTCATTAAAATTTCTGAGTGTATCAAGTTACGCGTAGTACAAGAAGGAACTCGTGCATGTTACGTCAATCGCTGGAAGCCGGGCCCCAATTCGTTGCAGAAACCATACTATTCTGTAGTACCTATGACAAAAAGTTTGTCAGCCATCGTTAATCGTCTTATTATTAAGGAGTTCGAATCCGATTAACTGCTTAAGCTATTCAACTGATAACGATGTACTGTAATTCGATTTTAAGAGGATTTTGATCGGCTATTTTAGCTTAATTTGTTAAATGTCTATGATAGAAAATAGGAAGAATGTGATGACTCCATTAAGTACGATGTTTCCATTTTTTTTTTAATATTAAAAAGACCTACGAAACGCGACCTATCTGATAATAAGAGTTTTTATATAGAACTAAGCGTGTCATTCGTTTGTCAGTTTGTCAGGGAGAAGACCGTTAGGACTGAGAGACTGAGGAAGAAAACTAAACATAGAAGACAAAGTAGTAGTTAGTAGTAGTAAAGTAGTAGTTTTAACGCCTGACGATGTTTCTTGCTGGTTCTTCCCAGGACATAGGTTTTTTCCCGAACCAGTGGTAAATGAAAAAATATGACTTTCAGTACGAAGTACTTGTAATCTTGATATTTTTGGAATGCAATGCGGAATACTTTTGTAAAAGATTGCTTACGTTACTATATAATGTTAGGATTCAATACTTTCCTTTGTTTTCCAGACTTTTCATATGACCATTAAAATATTAATATAATTTTACCGTGAGGTGGCGGCGAATATTCGAGTTATAACTTTTGTATTAATATTGCAGTTAAATAACTTATATAAAATTATTCAAGTTATAAATATATTATCTAGTAAGAGATAAGAGAATCCATCTCTACATTTTTTAACATGGAAATCGTAAAAGTTAACCATATAATGGGTTTTTCAACAAGAACTTTGTTTTCTAAAACAAAATAAAACAAAGAGTTTAGATGAAGATGATTCAAATTTTTATTGTATTACGAAGAGAAAAGTTTGGCAATTATGAATGAAAAATGATATCTGGCAAATGTCCACCACGACCACGCTGACAGATGTCGATTCTTTCATCAAAGTTTTTAATCACTTTTTGGCAAAATGGCGGGTCTATTTCGTTATTCACCTTACGGATTTTGAGTTTTAAGGCCGCGATCCATTCGGTTGGCTCCGTATAGACTCTGTCCTTAACATAGCCCCACAAAAAATAATCCAGTGGTAAATCACACGATCTGGCTGGCCATTTAACAGCTGAATTTCGTGAAATTATGCGATCGGGAAATTTGGTTTGCAATAAATTGATCGTTTCGTTGGCTGTGTGACATGTGGCACCGTCCTGTTGAAACCACATATTTGTGATATCGATGTCATCAATAATAGGCCAAAATTGAGATGTTAACATCTCGCGATAGCGTGATCCATTGACCGTTACCGCATTTCCAGCTTCATCTTCGAAAAAAACGGCCCAATCACGCCTCCAGACCACATAGCTCACTATACAGTGACACGTTGAGCATGCAAAGGCTTCTCAATAATCGCTTTAGGATTTTCAGAAGCCCAAATGCGGCAATTTTGCTTGTTGACGTGATGGATGTTATGGATTATGTTCTGGCATTTACCGTATTCGCTTATTCCGATAGATGACAGTATAACCACTTTCTTTACGTCAAACATGAAATTGCCAGACCGGCGAATTTCATATTGAATAAAAAATATTCTATTCTATTTGATGTTTTTTTTTTTTTATGATCGAGGACACGATAATGCCGGATATAAATTCGGGCTCACGTTTTATTATATTTAAGCCAATTAATTTTTTCTTAAATTTGTTAAAGCCAAAAGAATCCCAATAGCCTTGACTTCGATCGACTCGTAGGGCGATACCTCTGTGAACGTTAGTAAAAAAAATCGTTAATTTCGCGAACAATAGATATTTTTTGTTATTTAGAGGTCAACGCCTGAACGCCGGCCATTGTTCTAATACAAGTTAGATCGCCAATCAGCTTTTTTAGGCTTTAGAAATTGTGGATATAATTGAAATTTAACAAATGAATATACCTGTGTTTTTGCAATGCGCTAATTTTAACTGCTTTTTATAATGCTAATAAGTAATAACCTATTTTCTATCCTTGAATTTTAATAATAATGTCCTTCAGAACGAATTTGGTCGCGGCGACCAATCTCAACGGAGACTAGCCATCTGTGCAGGACAGGATTATAGTGCCCCAGTGTATGCGCAAGCACAGGTGCACTCTCTATTCCCTCACTCTCAAAATCCGATGGACGGTAATCCAACACCACCGGAGAAGCGCAAGGTTCAAGCGCAGGAACAACGGATATACATGCTTTCGACCCAGGATTCACCCCCAGGACCTCAAGTCCAGCAATCGCGTTTACTAATTGCAGCACTCGCAGTCGCTAATCATGAGGTCCTGGATTTGAATCCCGGGTCGGGCCAAAATCAGTTACTGGGTTTTTCTGTCATGAAATACTCAGCAGCAGCCCGGAGTCAGGAAGTTGGCGCTGTTTCACTCCTGTGCCTCGGAAAGTACGTAAAGCCGTTGTTCCTGCGGTTGATCTCTTTCGAGACGTGTCGAATAACCGTCCCATTGGAACATAGATAATATACTACATCGGACTAAGAGAGTGAGGGAATAGAGAGTGCTCGTGTATTTGCGTATACACTCGGACACTATAATTCTGAGCTGCGTAGATGGCTAATTTTCGTTGTGACTTGCCGTCGTGACCGAAACTCGGCCTGGAGAACAGTATTTTTTATTATTATTATTCTGTGAGAATTATAAATACAGCTGCAATCTGTCATATCAGAATAATAAGACGAAAAAGAATATTTGGCCGTGTAGTAAAGGTGAGATCTCTCGTCGGTCGTTTGCGACTAATGCAAGGCTATCCTCCGGAAGCCGGGGAGGGAGGCGGTGAATGCTCATAGCATACAACGCAGCCGGCTGCGTGGTTATGTGGGACTCACTTTGAAGAAGTGCCTACTTACTAAACACCACCTGTGGGACTGGCTCTGGCCTGAGTGGCCTCTTCGCCGCATCGGAAACGACCCCCCTTAGGGAAGGGGCGCGCGGGGTCAGTCAAGGTGTCAGCTATTCTATATATACTGGAGCACTCCGGAACTTCAATAGCGTGATTTACAAAATACTGAATTGGACGTAAGTAGTCTTTTTACATAATGACAGTTCTAACTTTCTCATGTTAATAAATGGCCTATTAGAATGCTGTCAAACGTTTAAGCCTCTTTATTTAAAAAGTTTTATATAGGTACCTGTTTGACACAGTTATCCTTAGAGTCGATTTTCGCGGTTAGTTCCTTGATGTCATTCTGGAGTTCTAGTAAGCGGGCTTCGTATTCGCCCTGCGTCGTGTCCAGGCGCCGCCTCAGCAGGTGCTTCTCTTGCTCCAACTCCTGACAAAAGGAACAGAAACCATTAGTATTAGATTTATTAATGTCTTCTCACGTCAGTCAGTTAAAAAATCAACAGCCAATAAAAATAAATTTTGTGACATGCAAATTATAATAAAGAAATAAATGCTTTATTTCTCTAAGTAGCAAACATAAGCGAAAACAGTATACTCGTATAAATACAACCTAAAGCTTAAAATAAAACCCGTGTCATGAGTCTCCGCTCTTCGATAACTATAAGTCTTAAAGTGAAAAACGTTTAGTTAACTACGTTGTTATGGAAGATACTGGTAATTTAATTAAAGGATTAACGGTAATCACTATAGGTATAACTTCTAATTAGTTCAGATGAAAATATTTTTTGAAAAAGCGCTCATTTTAAAAAGAAAAATTATTTAAGACACAATCGCTAAAAATGAATTTGGTAATATTTGAGTAAAATAATATTACAGTAATATTCACTAATCACTTAATCACTATTCTTTATTTATAGAATAAGGATAACAAATGAGCACACAGTCCATCTTAGGGTATGTGGAAGCTGTAGATCATAGACATCTATCCTCGGATAAGAATCAAAATGCCGATGCGTTGTCACAATAAAATGGAATGCCTCGTTTCCAGTAAAGAGTGTCCGGTTCTCTGCACACAACATACGAAACACAGCAGCATTAAGCTGCTATGCTATATTCGCCTCTTCATCTTCGGTATACCGTTACCGTTACAGTCCATTAAAGTCCATTGCTGATATAGGCCTCCCCCATAGATTGCCTCATAAAGGATTTTGTCACAGATGCCACGCTAGGCACTCGAGTTGGCATCTGTGGTTTGTTTAATTTTCTGGTTGTTATCAATATCAAGTAGATCCTGCTGCTCAGCTCCTGGTTTGTTACCCTCTGTCGCCTTTTATAACACCCGCGGGATGATAGGGGGTAGTGAATATTCTTACACCACTAAACGGAATTTCCAAATGACATGCGTAAGCTACGCGTTGCATCATCGTGTCATGAGTCACTGCTAAAGATAATCAGCCTATAATTTATTTAAAACAAGCGACAACTCAGGCTTTTTCATTGGAAAATAAAATTTCATGATTTTCGGATAAATAATTATTAGCTTAGATCACTCCTTGCATTACTCTGTATATGTTTGTAAGGTTTTATTAAAATCGGTTCAGCCATCAGTTCATGTAATATATTGCGATATTACAGACAGACAATTCAACTGTATTTATACGTTTAGATAGTATTCCTATCATACACTAACACAATCATCTAGTTACTATAGATAAATACGAATATAGAAAAAATGTGACTTCAAAGCTGTTTATTTTCGTTGTCACGAGACGTCCACTCGATTTATACCATAAAGTACATAAAACTCAATTATCTCGATTCTCCACTTCGGGTCATTCGATTAGCCGTCGTAAACACGCTTTTACTTACCGCTGTTTTTCAATTAGTGTGTAATTTGTGAACTTGTAATAGGCGGGTCAATTAAAATCCGGGTATGGTGTGTCTAATTTTATAAATGTCTGAACATGTTTCACTGATGTTTTTACTTGGTAGAGCCAGCTGATCTTCACAAAATTATTTGTGTGTGTGTGTGTGTGTGTGTGTGTGTGTGTGTGTGTGTGTATGTGTGTGTGTGATTTACAACAAAGATTAAAGACATTTTGATATTTTGAGATTTCGCTTCATCTCACATATCTTGTGTAGAAATGATAATTTACACTCAAAATCACTTACGTTCGACGCTTAATTACATAATATATACCTGTTTAGTTTTGTTAAAATCGGCTGTTCTACGCCAAAATCGTACTTACAATTCATTAACAAATGGGAAGTTTACAAGGACAGAAGCGGGCAGACCTATGACTCGGTCTGCTCTTAGAGTCATCCACTCGCTTTATTTAAATTTATATTTACACGTGGTAGAGCCATGCTGCAGCTATATTAGTAGTATAGTTGTAGCACGAATGGGTCGGCTCGACCGGGGAAGAACCACGCTCTCACAGAATACCAGCGTAAAATAGTAGCTTAACGCCGCTGTGTTTCGTATGGTGAGTGTAGAGAACCGGAGACCCATTTTACTGGAAAAGAGGCATTCCATCTCAGTCCTCACGGGTGACAACGCATCGGCATTTTGATTCTTTATTGAGGATAAATGTGGATGTCTATGGGTCAAAGCAACCACTTAACATCAGGTGGACTGTGTGTTCGTTTGTCACCCTATCCTATAAAAAAATATAATTCCACTACTCTGAGAAGTGAGCGTGAAACAAAATTTATAATATTTTAATACAACTGAGGGTTTTAAATGACCACACCGTCTACCTGATGGTAAGTGAATGTTGTGGGCTATGAACAACTATACCTAGGTACCTATCCTTGATTAATTATCAAAATGTAGATTTGTTGTTGTCCCTAAATACTGAAATGCAAAAACATGTCGCCAGTAAAAAGGGTTTTTATAACACTACCACAATGTATATATAATACTTTTAAATACTATCGGAAACAAAGTAATACTTAAACTATCGATAAATACCACGGAATATAGAAATAATGTAACTTGATTTCCACCATCAAGTCCGTAATCGAGTTTTAAACTCGATTATTGCAATTCTCCAGTTCACGTCCTTCGATTAGTCACAGTACCGAACATTAGGATGCGCAAGCGCATGCAGCAAAGCCGTCACAAGCATTGACAGTAGGTGGCGCTGCAATCGGGTTCGTGGTTTTTTTTTTATTTTCAGGGTTTTGTTAAAATCAAATTAAAAAAGTAAAAGCCGACTTCAAAGAACTCGGCCACTTTTTACGTGATAGAGCAATGCTGCAGCTATATTACTGGCATAATTGTAGCACGAGTGGGTCGGCTTCACCGGTGAAGGACCAGGCTCTCACAGAATGCTAGCGTAAAATAGTAGCTGTGTTTCGTATGGTGAGTGTAGAGAACCGGAGACTTCAGGTTTTTTTAACATCTGCAGAGCACGTTAGTTTCGTATTTAATGCAGTTATTTAACGTACATACGTTACTGTTATTTAGAAATGAGCAAACTTTGAGCAGGCTGTGTAAGCAGGGCTGTATTGAACGCCGCATTACAATAGACTTGTGCGTCACTAGACTATTGATACAACTGAATAAATATTATCGAAGGGTTCCATAGATTTTCTGTTTTTAAGGTTACTGTCTTTGCAGACTATTACTTTCTTTTTACTTTGCAGGGTATTAAAAAAGGTGAATTTAGAATCTATTTATTTTACCTTTGTATCAGTTATCTATTTATTACATGCCTTAGGCGTAAAGCGCGTGGGTATGTTCTACTAGCGCCTAAAAATCAAGATTCCAACGTTTTGTGGCATAAAATTCGTATCAAACAATAATATTGAACATATAAATGATATAAAAAGCACATTGTCAGAAAGATAAATGATTGTTGAACTTAATTATTTTTGTTAAATCGATTTATTTCTATTTTTACATAAAAAAGTGGTTTTAGTGGCTTATGGTGTAGATATATCACGTCCGCATGGAGTGGTAAACACGATAACTTTTGAAAATATCAATTGTTTAATTCAATCTATATTTTGATCTCTTCATCTATCACGTGGCAAGCCATGGAATGTAAATGGCAGTTTAATTTTCTTTTCTGCCGATGTCCAAAAAGGAGACGGTACTCAATTCGACTGTATTTTTTTTTTATGTATGTTACCTCACAACTTTTTACTGGGTGAACCGATTTCGATAATTCTTTTTTTATTTGAAAGCTGGTGATTCTCGTGTGGTCCCATATAAATTTGATCAAGGTCAGACTAACAGTATTTGAGTTATTCTTAATAACTTATATTGAAGTCGGCTGTACAAAATTTTTAATTATGTTTAGTTATAATTAATTTTTTTTGGCGAAATTTTCGATTCACAAATTGCGTTACACGAAACTTAGTGACTAAACAAAACATGCAAGTACTAACAATCACATGCAGCTCGAAAGGCATAGCAATGAACAGGAGAGGGGCAGATACTCAAAAATTATTTTCCTCAAGGTGTTCATTAATTAAATAGTAACTTCTTTTTTAATAAGTATATGTTTTAAAGAGCTTATGAATTATATATTATTACTAGCTGACCAGGCAGACGTCGTTCTGCCCTTTCCGATGACCATTTGCTTTCCTAAAAAAAACTCTTGAAATTAGCAATAAAAAAATTGAGGGTCGCTTATCGGGATAAAAACTATCCTATCTCTCAAGTTAGACCAAACTGCACTGCATAGTGACATGGATCTACACCATGTTACTCCTGAAGTGTCTCTTCTCATCTGATGATATGATATATATAATCTCTTTATATATAAAAACTAGCTCGCCAGGCAGACGTTGTTCTGCCCTTTCCAACGGCCCTTCCTATAAAAATCCTTAAATTCGCAATAACAAATTTTGAGAGTCATTTAGCGGGATAAAGACTATCCTATCTCTTAACACAAACACTCACACCTGTCACCCAGAGGGTAGGCAGAGACTACGGACTTCCATTTGGCGCGATCCTGACACACCTCTCTCGCCTCCTTTACATTCATATATCTACGCATACACGCTCGTCGGTTAAGGGTACTCCTAATCTGGCCCATTTTTAATGTATCGCCGATTTGGTCATTATACCTTCGTCTAGGGCGTCCCTCCCGACCTTGCCGTTCACTTCTGTAACATAGATTTGCTTTGTCACTCTTTCCTCTTTCATTCTTTCTATGTGACCAAACCACCGAAGCATCCCTTTCTTAATCCTTGTCACAACGTCATCTTGTAAACCACACTTTTCTCTTATCACACTATTTCTCACCTTGTCATTAAGATTCAGCCCTAGCATACTCCTTAAGGAACGCATTTCTACAGCATTTATTCTACTCTAATGCTTCTTCTGCCAGATCCAACTTTCACTACCATACATTAAAGTAGGGACTAACACAGCATTATGAATTGCCATACGTGCCTTAGTTGACACATTCT